AGAGCCGGCAGTTGGGCAGCTCCTAGGGCTTCCTTTGGCCCCTCTCCAGCCAGCAGCCTGAGGGGTCTTAGGAAGACCCCAGTCAGATCTCTGTCTTCTTGGCTCAGAACCTTCCAACGTGGAAGAAGCCCCCACCCTTTGTTGATTGTATGCTCTTGGGAAACTCTGAACTTCCACTTCCTGCTCTGTACAGCGGGACCTGCATGAGTCACCTACTGCTGTGTGACAAGCGAAACTCAGTGGCTTAAGGCAGCAACAGTCACTTAATATCTCTCATGGTTTCGGTGGCTTAGGAAGTCGGGAGCAGCTTGCCTGAGTGATTCTGCTCAGGGTCTCTCATGAGGTTGCAGTCAGGATATTGGCCAGGGCTGCACTCTCATCTGAAGGCCTGACTGGGGCTGGAGGATCTACTTCCAAGAAGTCTCACATGGTCTTCTTGGCTGCAGTTCATGGCCACATGGGCCTCTTTCTCCATGGGCTGCTCCGGTGTCCTGACACAGCAGTGGCTTCCCCCAGAACAAGTGGTCTGAGTGAGTGAGTGAGGAGGAAGCCATAACTACTTTTATGACTGAGCCCTGGAAGTCATATTCTTTCACCTCCAGAGTATCATACTAGTTATACAGGTCAGTCCTATTTAGTGTGGGTCTCAGGGACTGGACAGGGCATGAATACCAGGAAGTATAAAAATCATTAGTGTGAGTGGCAGATCATGGAGGCCAGCTGCCAAATGTCATAACTTGTCTGTTTCCTCATCAGTAAAACGGGGACTATCTCCCACCTCTAGGTTGTTGGGGCCTCCAAACGAGAGTCGTGAAGAAAAACCATGGAGGCTGGACGCCGTGGCATCTCAAAGTGCTGACCTGTAATCCCAGCACTTTGAGACACCAAGGTGGGAGGGTCACTTGAGCCCAGGAGTTTGAGACCAGCCTGGGCAACATGGTGAGACCCCATCTCTACAAAAAATATAAAAATCAGCCAGGTGTAGTGGCACACCCTTGTAGTCCCAGCTACTTGGGAGACTGAGGCAGCAGGATCACTTGATCCTGGGAGGTCGAGGCTGCAGTGAGCTATGACTGTGCCACTGCATTCTACCCTGAGTGAGACCCTGTCTTAAAGAAAAAAAAAGAAGAAGAAGAAAAGCCATGGCCATGGAGCCTAGCACATTAACTAGACACTCACCAAAATGAGCTCCTGTGTTATGGCAGTTTCTGTGGAATGGCAGAGGGACCAGGTCACCCTCACTGAGCCCTGTTGACCACATGGGGGCAAAATGCCCCTTCTTTCAGTGAATGGGGACTAGGAACAGGCATTTTTCTTCTTCTTCTTCTTAAGGTTTTAAACACCTAATTTATTCCATCCATTAGATAGATTTTGTAGATTTAATCATTTTCACAGTTGGTGGCTCATTGGATACTCAAGATAAACTCCAAATGAAAGTATAATGGTGAGGACAAATGAGTTTTCACACCACAATGGCAGAAACTTGCTTGGGAAGAGAGTTTAAGAGGAACAAAAATACATACAGATACAATTTTTTTTCCCCGGCAGCTGCTTTTGCTGACTCCAGTAGGTTACCACAGTTAATTTCACCAGTTTTGTTCATCTGTAAAATTGCATAAAAGTGACATTTTTGTGCTCATTATAGCAACTGCTGATTTATGGCTGGTAAATGAAGAGCTGGTCCCTTTTTTGCGGGACTCTCCGAGTGGCGCTAAGTGCCCATGAAATTGCTTGTATAATGTAGTTTAAATCCAATCTCGGAGAAAGATTCCCCCGTTGGCCAAAGTGACATTTCCATTCTCCACACCGAGTTTATTTTAGGCCACTTAGGAGGAGGCTGCCCCGGGCAGCGTCAGGATGGGGGCCATGGCCGGTCTACTTGCCCAGCTCCAGCGAGGCCGGGTGGATGGAGAGCCACCTATTTCTTCACTCCCTGCTGCCCTGGCCAGGTCAGACCACACCGTTCACCCCGGGGCAGAGGCAAATAAGCCGACGGAAGCTCACTTGCCTAGGCTCATAGGCCTGCCCATGCCTTACCCTGCTTAAAACCTCCCATGGCTGCCCAGTGTTCCCAGGTCGGGGCTTCTCCCCCTTGGTACCGCTGACAGTTGGAACTGGACCCTTCTCTGTGGCAGAGCTGTCCTGTGCATTGTAGGATGTTTAGCGGCATCCCAGGCCATGACCCACCCAATGCCAGTAGCACCTCTACCCCTAGCTGTGACAGCCAAACATGTCTCTACACACAGCCAGAGTGCCCCGTGCAGCGAGAGCCGCTGTCCTGCAGCGAAGAGGCTCTCCCTGCTCTGGCTCGAGGCCCTCCCGGCCAGCTGCCTCTCTTGGGCTTCTCTCTGCAAGCCTGCCCCAGGCTTCCTCTCTCCTCCTGAGTCATTTACAGTTTCCACCAGACTACTTACCTCCCAGGGCCGTTGCCTGGGCTGTTTACTCTGCCTAAAATCTGTTTCTCTCCTCCCTTTTCACCCCTTCTACCAGTGGCCCAGGACTTAACCAGGATATCGTTCCTTTTTGGAAGCTGTCTCTGGACCCCCATGTCCCGCCACTGCCTGTTCCTCTCCATCCCGTTTCACTTGGACGAGCCCCGAGGGTGTCAGGGACAATGCTTTAGAAGGATGGGACGTGGCCTGTGGCCTTCTGATCAGTGGGGAGGTAGCACGGTCCGCACTTTATCCCCGCTGCAATGCCAGTCCCACCTGTGCCCGTTGGAAGGGTGGTGTGAGCCCCCTGCCCCTTCCTTATCTGGGAGGGCCCTTTCTCTGGGCAGACGGGGAGGGTATTAATACTAACGCTCACAGAACGCCAGCTTTTGTTAATGCCATCTACCGTGCGTGACCTGTCAAACCCTCCCAGCCACCTTGGGAAGTAGTATTAGCAACAGCATCACCCCATTTCACAGATGAGGAAGCAGAGGCTGAGTGGTGAAGCTCCTCTCCCAAGCCCCCCGAGAGTCATGAGCTCTAAGCACCTGTGATGTACCTCACCCCTTACTGAGCCCCCTGGTGCCTCTATTCCTTGAGGCCACCTTGCAGACCTGGCATGATCATGACCCCCTTTCTACAGGTGGGAAAACTGAGGCTCAGCTGGGCAAACTACATGCCCAGCGCCATTCCATCTGCCTCATGAACTCTACCACCACCACTCTCCACACCCCCTCGGCCCCAGGAAAGCCGTGGGCTACCCTTGGGAATGTCTCAGGACCAGGGAGGGGCTTTGGATCGGGGCAGGAGTCTGCCCACCATGGCCCTCCTTCCCCACGGCAGGGCCAGTTGTGTCCACTTACAGTGGCACTACTGGGTACAGCCTGCAGCACAGAGCATACCCTTCAGCCCCACGTGGATGGCTCACTAAAAAGGCAGCAGCAGCCACACTGGCCTTGCAGGTGACCAGTAGACTCAGGGAGGGGCCGGGAAGCAAGAGACAGCAGCTCGCTCTGGCGCTAAGCCCCATCTGCCCTGTTCACATAGGAGCACGCTTCACCAGCCCATGAGGTGGGCAGGGGGTCACCATCCCGTTTCACAGGTGAGGAAGGGAGGCACAGGGAGGATAAAAGGGTTAGAAGGAAGGAATGTCCCCAGAGTGGTGACAGAATAAAAGATGACACCAAGCACTGGCAGGTTGTGGGGTCACTGGAACTCCTGTGCTCTGCGGGTGGGAGTGTAGCCGGGCATGGTCTCACAGGTAAATGGTCAGGCATTTTCTCCCGAAGCCGGGCAGCGGCATCTGCCCCGTGACCCAGAAATTCCATTCCTGGGTATATTTCCAACAGAACTCTGCATGTGCTAGGGGCCATGGCACTGTATTTATTTACTTTTATTTTTTTGAGACAAGGTCTTGCTCTGTCGGCCAGGCTGGAATGCAATGGCACAGTCACAGCTCACTGCAGTCTCCAAGTCCTGGGCTCAGGTGATCCTCCCACCGCAGCCTCCAAAGTAGCTAGGACTACAGGCATGCACCATGATGCTTGGCTTTTCTCTCTCTCTCTCTCTCTCTCTCTCTCTCTCTCTCTCTCTCCCCCCCTCTCCCCCTCTCTCTCTCTTCTTTTCCATAGAGATGAGGTCTTGCTGTGTTGCCCAGGCTGATCTTGAGCTCCTGGGCTCAAGCAATCCTTCCACAGTTTCCCATAGTGCTGGGATTACAGGTGTGAGCCACCTCACCCAGCCTGTGGCACTATTTCTATCAGCTAGAAACAACCCAAATACCATCAAGAATAGAAAGGATGGGCCAGGCACAGTGGCTGGTGCCTGTAATCCCAGCACTTTGGGAGGCCGACGCAGGAGGATCACTTGAGCTCAGGAGTTTGAGACTGGCCTGGCCAAAGTGGCGCAACCCCATCTCTGTAAAAAATACAAAAATTAGCCAGGTATAGTGGCGTATACCTAGGATCACCTGAGCCTAGGAGGTCAAGGCTGTAGTGAGCCGTGATTGCACCACTGCACTCCAGCCTGGGTGACAGAGCAAGACCCTGTCTCTAAAAGAACAGAAAGGATGAACAGATTGAGGCATAGTCACACAATAAATACCATATAGCAGTGAGACAGGCCAAACTACTCCCCACGCAGCCACCTGGATGACTCTCACATAGTATGAAGTGACAGAAGCCAGGTGCAAATGAGTACATACTGTAGAATTCCATCTTACCACTTACACAAACCAGGCACAACCAGTCCATGTTAGAAGTCAGGATAGTGGTTAGCGTGGTGTGGTTAGAGACTGGGAGGGCCCCGGGGACCCTGCAGGGGATTAGCAATGTCCTGTCTCTTGGCCTGGGTGCCATAAAACAGTTGTGTTCCTTTTGTGAAAGTTCATCAGGCTTATGATGCAGGCAGTTCCCTGCACTTTACACTCAAATTCAAAGTTTAAAAATGTAGAAGGAATAAGGAATGAAATGAATGGGAAATGAGTGGAGGGGGAGGGACTCGTGAGCCCTGTGGGGAAAGGTAGGCGTGGCCTCCTGATGGACCCTCACACGCGCTTTCCTCCCGCAGGCGAGGCGGTGGCCAGCGCCATGCATTCCTCCCGCTACCCAAGCCCGGCAGAACTGGACGCCTATGCCGAGAAGGTGGCCAACAGCCCGCTGTCCATCAAGATCTTCCCCACCAACATCCGTGTGCCCCAGCACAAGCACCTCAGCCGCACAGTCAATGGCTATGACACCAGTGGCCAGCGCTACAGCCCCTACCCACAGCACACCGCTGGCTACCAGGGCCTTCTGGCCATTGTCAAGGCCGCGGTTTCCTCCTCCAGCACGGCCGCACCAGCTGGGCCCGCCAAAAGTGTGCTCAAGAGCGCCGAGGGCAAGCGGACCAAGCTGTCACCGGCCGCCGTGCAGGTGGGCATTGCGCCCTACCCAGCGCCCAGCACTCTGGGGCCCTTGGCCTATCCCAAGCCACCTGAGGCGCCTGCTCCACCACCCGGCCTGCCTGCAGCCGCCACTGCCGCCTCCGTCATCCCCCTGCCAGGCCGGGGCCTGCCCCTGCCACCTTCCAACCTGCCCTCCATCCACAGCCTCCTCTACCAGCTCAACCAGCAGTGCCAGGCCCCGGGCGCCGCACCCCCTGCCTGCCAGGGCGTGGCTGTTCCCCATCCCAGCCCTGCCAAGCACGGCCCAGTGCCCAGCTTCCCGAGCATGGCCTACTCGGCCGCAGCCGGTCTGCCCGACTGCCGGAAAGGCACTGAGCTGGGCCAGGGAGCCACCCAAGCCTTGACATTGGCTGGGGCCACCAAGCCTGCAGGGTACGCAGACAGCGGCCTGGATTACCTGCTGTGGCCGCAGAAACCACCCCCACCACCGCCCCAGCCACTGCGTGCCTACAGTGGGAGCACGGTGGCCAGCAAGTCCCCCGAGGCTTGTGGGGGCCGGGCATATGAGCGGGCCAGCGGGTCACCCCTCAACTGTGGCGTGGGGCTGCCCACCAGCTTCACCGTGGGCCAGTACTTTGCAGCCCCCTGGAACAGTGTGCTGGTGACCCCCACCAGCGACTGCTACAACCCGGCGGCGGCAGTGGCAGTCACGGAGCTGGGGCCGGGGGCAGCCCGGGAGCTGGCTGGGCCTCCCGCAGATGCCCTCTCGGGCCTGCCCAGCAAGAGTGTGTGCAACACATCGGTGCTGAGCAGCAGCCTGCAGTCGCTGGAGTATCTCATCAATGACATCCGGCCGCCCTGCATCAAGGAGCAGATGCTGGGCAAGGGCTATGAGACGGTGGCCGTGCCCCGGCTACTCGACCACCAGCATGCCCACATCCGCCTACCCGTCTACAGATAAGGCCTGCCCTGCGGATGCACGGACACGCGGACGGGGCGTGGAGCAGGGAGGCAGGTGGAAGAACAGGGTGGGCGGCTCACAGGGGCGCTCAGCCCCACCCTGTGCCTGCTGATGCCCAGAGGGAAGCCAGGCTGGTTGCCGCCTTGCTGTGGCCGGATGGAGGGTGGCAGGGCAACCTCACATACCAAGGCCCCTCCCCACCATCGGTTGCCCCAGGACACAGGGAGGGCCTGGGGGCAGCCACTGACGCCCACGCCTTCCTTTAAGCTGGCAGAGGCAGGGAGAGAAAAACCACTCGAAAACAAGAATGGCTCTTTCTGGGCCTCCTGGGACAGAGGCCCAGGCTAAGGTGGGGTGCAGGAAGAAACAGGCGCACCAGAGTCAGGGTGGGGGCAGAGCAGCCCCCAGGGGTCAGGCAGCTATGTCTCCCCACACTGACTCCCCAGTATTCTGGAAAAGGGGCACAGGAGGCCGATAGGAAGTCACTGGGCCCAGAATGTCTCCCCACCAGCCAGGTGAAGACCACTCTGACAGAGGCCCCAGCGACTATACCAGTCCCCCTGTTCCTCCTCTCCTTGCCCCCACCATTCCTTGCTAACACAGAGTTGCACCCCATCCCCATTCTTCAAACCCTGGACTACCATCTTCCCTCTTCTCTCCAATACATCTTATAGGGCTGCTGAGTACAGTTGTGCAAGCTGTGCACTGCACAAGGGCACCTTGTCCAAGGAGACACCACTTTCACCCAAACTTGTGTATTTATTACAATTTTCTGCATCTTGAGGAAGGGGCGTCATTTTCCTGTTCGCACAAAGGCACCACAGGGGCTAACAATGGGCCTGCAATCTTAGATCCCATTCAGAGAGAACCTCCCTTGCCTTTGAGGGGTCTCTTGGGACCGTCCTGGTTTTAACTGGGAGGCCTAATCCAACTCCTTTCCTGCAAACCACCCTCCAAGGCCTGTCCCACACGATCAAGTGGGGGAAAGACAGGCAGGAGTCCCCTCATGAAGTCCCCAAGTCCTGGCCCCTCTGGCGCTCTGGAAGCGGTACTGTATCTCTCTCCAAGGCCTGTTCAAGCACTAAGTGCATTTACAAATCTCTGAGAATGTTTTTTTTTTATACTAAAATTGACCATTATATTCTACTGTGAGAAGTGCAGTCTGCACTATATTGTTTTAAAAACGAAGAGAAAGAAAAAAAAAGGAAAACACAGATGGTGCCTCAGCTGTCGGGTTGCTTTCGTAGCTCTTGTTTTCGTTTTCTTTCTTCCTCCCCTTAGGAGTGAAAGGGGCTGTCTCCTCCCAGCTGACCAGGCTTGCAGCCCAGGAGGGAAGCGGGCCAGGAACCTCCGGGTACCTCCTGTGCGTGGGGCATTCCGCACTCAGTGCTTCCCCTCTTCCAGCTCTTTCAAGATGGACATTGTCATTTAGCACACAGGCCGATGGCCGCTAGGTCACGGCCAGCGATCCATCCCCACAGCAGCAGAGACAGAACCAAACGGGGCCCTCTTCCTCGTTCCCTCGATGGTGGTCTCGAGGGGGCATCTCTCCTCCACAATTTATTCCCAGCTCTTCCTCTGTACCTGGCATGCTCCAAGGGGCCATGGTGGCAGTGGGGCTGGGGACAGGCCACAGTGGCTAGGCAGCAGCCATCTCCATGGCCAACTGCATCTCAGCCAGGCCAGACACCCCAGTGCCCACCCACCCCCTGCTGTGGTGCCCGGGGATTTGCAGGAGACCACCCCCGCCCCAGGGAGCTCAGCATTTATTAGGCCCTGGCTGTGGACCAGGCATCTTCCTACATACTGTATCTTGTCAGAGCCCCACAACACCCTTGCAGGGGGGGGAGGCGTTCTAGAGGAGAAAACTAAGACTTGAAGCAATCTGTGCGAGGTCACACAGCAAATCTGTGGGAAGCTGGGGTTCAAACCTCACAACATGGACTCTTCCCTGTGTCCCGTTCCTGCCTTCGCCTCCTCCCATCTCTTCTCCCCCAGCCTCCTAACCCAATATTAGGGCCGGAGAACTGGAGAGCTCCCAGCTAAGGCAGGCCTCCCCTCCCATTCACAGAGCCCTGCTCGGGTGGCTGGCAATGGTGAAGTCCAGGGCAGAGATGGGGCAGAGGGGACGCCTTGGATTTGACTCTGCGGTGGGTGGTCCACCTCCCTGAGACCAGGCATCCAAGTCGGGCAGCACATACTACCCAGTCCACAGAAGAGGAAACAGAGGCTCCGAGAGGAAGGGACCGTGTCCGGCGGGGGGGGGACCCGGGCCTTTCTGCACTGGGTCAATGAGCCAAGCACATCACCCCAGCCCCTGGGGAGCAGGAGCCGGGCCCAGCTGGGTGAGGAGCTGGGAAAGGCAGAGCTGCGTGAAAGGCTGCCGGGAATCATCACAAATAGGACACAACTAGTATAAATGGCAATCGACAGAGTGCTTTTCTGATCTCACTAGAGTCTATCAGGTAGGTGATGAAATCATGCCCATTTTACATATGAGGACACAGCCTGACCAACGGCCACAAGGATGTTGAGAGGGAGCGAGGTGTTCTGGCTGCGAGCCCCACCCCCACCCCCATTCATAATCACAGCCCGCCTGGGGGCATCCGGAACCCAGAGGAGCCAGGACAGGGCAAGCCCAGCAGGCCTGGCCTCTGCAGTGGGCTAGACTTGGGTTCCAGTCCTGACAATGCCACCGTGAGTGACTCTAACCAATCCATTTCCCAAGGGGGCGGCACCAGAACCAGAGATGGAATTCAAGCAGACAAAAGCACAGTGTCAGCACTCGGGAGGGAGCAGGGCAGGAAACCAAGGTCTAGGGCCAGGTGTTGCATTGGGAGATGGCCTATGGCTTAGCTGTTCCCAGTCGTCACCACTGGGGCCACCCAAGGACCAACTTGGTCACCCAGGTCCCCATGTCCTTGGTCAACCGCCAGGTGTACCCACACTGGGGCATCAGGAGAGGGGAAGCGGGAGAGGCTGGAGCCACTCTCCATGCCGGGTCTCTCACATTTGGATATCAGGGCAAAGGACGCACCTGCTATCCTGGAAGAATCTCATCCTCCGCAGGGTGGGGTCTGTGCGCGGGGCGTGTGGGGGCGCACGGCACAGTCCAGGTCTGGGCCCAGGAATGCAGCTGGGGCTCTAGCCCTGACTCCCTGTGCCTCCTTGGGCCTCAGTTTCCCCATCTAGGAACTGGGCTGGCTGGTCTCAAAGTGCCCTCTGGTGGCCATTCTAGCATGGTTTCTTTATACAATCAATCAGCTTTGATTACCACATTGACGGGGGAGGACAGGTGACCAAAGCATTGCTATCACTGCTACAATTACCGAGATCCCACACTTACTACAGGCAGACCAGATACCAGGCTTAGGGCTAAACATTACTTGGTTCTCACAACCACTTGGCGCAACAGGTGCATGCACTCACATTACAGACAAGGTTAGTGAGACCCACAGGGCAATCACTTTGCCCAAAGTCACACAGCTGAGGATAAAGAATGACGAAGTGGCTGGGATAGAACACAGGCCTGTCTGATTTTAAGTCTGAGTTCCCAGCCGCAACCCTTTGCAGAGAATAGAAAACAACTTGTCAACCGCCAAATGTGGCCAATTTGGCTCCAGAACGCAGGCCCAGCCTTGGGTCCCAGAGCCCCAACTGCCCAGACGTCCCGGTGGCTGAGGGAGACAGAGAGGAGAAGCCACCATTTCATCCAGGCCCCAGGTGGGAGCTGCAGTCCTTCTCTAGGTCTCTGTTCTGACACTAGAATCCTTCTCTCTCTATTTAGCTGTCCTGGGCTCACACCCTTTACCACAGAGCTGTCTAATATGGTAGCCAGGTGTGCAGAAAACCTCGGCTATCACTACCTGTCATAGCGACCATTAGAAGACCACCCCAGGTCAGAGACAGGTGACCTTACAGAGAGATCAGAGCTGCCCCAGGAGGCCACGGGGGCTCAGGCGCAGACTTGGATAGAGGAAGCTATGTTAGTGGACACTCACCTTTCCAGGGTGGCTCTGTGTTTTCTTCACTCATACCCCTGTCTTTAGATCCCAACCCCATTTCTGGAGCGGGGAAACTGAGACAAGTTCCAACTTCTGAACTTGCCATCCAAACAGCGACTCCTAACTTTGCCCTACTCGGCTCCCTCGGCTGCAGCCTGGACTCCACGCCCAGCTCCACGTACGCCCAGCACCACTGCGCCTGCCCAGTGCTCTTAAAGGGCCCACACCCCGTCCCGCCCCCAACGTTGCCGGAGAAGGTGGGGTCCGGCCAGTGCGGTAGGTGAGAGCAAGGGACTAAAGGTTTTCTGTTTAAATTGCCACCATCACCAGCTGTCCAGCAAGTAGCAGGGGAAGGGGAGGAGGCAGGAAAACTGAACTTAGTATCCCAGTGACTCCACGTGTGACCCTGGGTGACTTGTATGCCTCTCTGAGCCTCAATTTCCAGATCTGTTGAAGGAAGTGGCGAAACCTGGAGGAGTGAGGTGGCACCAAGTGATGTGTGGTCAGCAGGATAGGGCAGATTTGTCCTGTAAGAGGACCCCTCTGAGTGCTGTGGGATGTAGTTGTCTGAGGGTCAGACAGAACTGGTTCCATCCTGAGGCTGTGTGCAGGTGTGTGTGGCCTCAGGCAAGTGATCACTCCTGACTCACCTATTTCCCAGCTGTAAACTGAGGCTCTGATGGGGAGCTGTGGCTCACGTCTGTAATCCCAGCACTTTGGGAAGCAAAGGCTGGAGGATCACTTGAGCCCAGGAGTTCAAGACCAGCTTGGGCAATATCATGAGACCCCATCTGTACAAACAATTTGAAGATTAGCTGGGTGTAGTGGTGTGTGCCTGTAGTCCCAGCTACTCAGGAGGCTGAGGTGGGAGGATCACTTGAGCCCAGGAGGTCGAGGCTGCAGTGAGCCATGATTGCACCACTGCACTACAGCCTGGGCAACAGAACAAGACCTTGTCTTATAAAATAAAAAAAAATGAGGCTACTATTTTAATGTATGTACCATGTGAGGTTTAATTTAGGAGATGGGTGGTCAAATCCCCTGGGTAGCACAGAGCTGCTAGGTAAAAGACGTACAACAAAGTTAGATGGAGTATTCCCATCCTCGCCTAGTGCAGCTGACTTCCAAGTCACCTTGGAAAGTGGGTTTTCCAGTCAAAAGAGTTTGAGAAACAGATGCCTATCCCGGCTCTTGGAGATACACAAATCGTATTAACATATTAAAGACACTAACAAATCCTGCAGGCAAGATTCCCTTTTAACTTTTTTGCAGTGGCACAATCTCGGCTCACTGTAACCTCCGCCTGCCAGGTTCAAGCAGTTCTCCTGCCTCAGCCTCTCGAGTAGCTGGGATTACAGGCATGTGCCACTATGCCTGGCTAATTTTTGTATTTTTACTAAAGATGAGTTTTGCCATGTTGACCAGGCTGGTCTCAAACACCTGACCTCAAGTGATCTGCCTGCCTTGGCCTCCCAAAGTGGTGGGATTACAGGCATGAGCCACCACACCCGGCCCCCTTTTAGCTTTAACCCAGCATTTCCCTAACTTTTTTGACCACCTAAGTTTTTGTTTCCATCTATTTGTACCCCATGGAACAAACAGGACTTCAGGAAATACTGAGTCCTGCCTCTTATTGCAGTTGGGGAAAATGGGTAAGTCCTTTCTCCTCTCTGGACCTCAGTTTCCCCAATTATACCGCAAGGACTCATAATGAGTATGTGGCAGAGCAAGGACTGGAACCCAACCCTGACCTGGAGTCGCTGGGTCTCATTTCCAGTACACCCTAACTGGTCCTGTCCATCGTATTGAGTTAGGCACAAAAGAAGGGTGAGGCCCTCAGGGAAGAGAAGGAAGCCACATTTGAGAAGTAGGGATGAGTACTCTTATTTTGCAAGAAAGGAAACTGAGGTTCAGAGAGGGGAGGCAACTTGCCTGAGGGCACACAGCAATTTGGTCCTGAACTCTCCAGAGGCAGTCAAGACCACCTTCTCTCCTTCTTGGGGTGAGGGTACGAGGGTGGGGATGGGATACTTCCTGTCTCAAACCCTCAGGGCACACCCAATAGGGCGCTCACAGGTGGTCTTCCTGACCACATCCCCAGGTTCCAAGCTTCCTTCTGAACCCCTCTGAGGAGACCCCTGAGTGTGACAGCAGTGGCCCCTGGTGACCAATCTTCAGGACCTCAGCAGCCCCACCCTGTGCTAGCCAAGGGCAGATCTGTGGGATCCAGGGAGCGTACCCCCAAAACTAAGGGGTGCCAACAGCAACGGGGACTCTCTAATGTCACTAAGAATCTTGAGGTGCTAAGAAGACCCTAAGCTGAGATCTGCGGACCTGGGTTTAAGTTCCTGCTCCAAACCCCAACCTCTCCTGCCCTTACCTGTTAGAAGCCATTACAGCTTGCTGCTATGGGGAAATGGAATGTGTGCCTGCTTTTTGGAAAGGCCAAAAACACTAAGTAGTTTAAAAAAAATCCTGCCACCCCCTAGAAAGGTTGAACTCCACCACATCCAGGCTATGTGTCCTCAGCCATGGGCGTTTACTTGATTGGGCCTCACTTTCTTCATCTGTAAAATGGGGATACAAATTTGTACCTGTATCTGCATGATTTGGGCCAAATAACAGAAAATCCCCCTGACTCAGCTGGTTCCAATGAGAAAGAACATTTATTATCTGGAATAATCATAAAAAGCCTTAAGGCAGGGTGGCCCCATGGTTGGTTAATGCAGCAGCTCAATGGCGTCATCAGGGGCCAATGTCCTTTTCATCTTTCTGTTCTGTCAAGGCCCCTCAGGGGCACAAAGTGGCTGCTGCAGTTCCAGGCATCACATCCAGATGCAAGAGTGACCAGCAACAGAGAGGCTAGTCTTTCCCTAGATTTCTCTTACTTTCTCAGAAACTTTTCCCAGAATTCCCCCTCCCCCAGCAGACCTCCCCACTTGTCTCATGGGGCAAAACTGGGTCACATGACTATTCCCATACCAATACCTGGCAAGGGAAGGAGAGTCATGGTGACTGGTTCAGGCGTTGTAAGGAAGAGGAGGCACGATTTCTAGGATGGTACAAACACTGGTTCATGAGCTCACGCGCACAGTTCCTGAGATTATGAATGCCAAACACTGAGCACGGTATCTAATACATGGCAGGTGCCTTATCCATATTGCTTCCCCCTTTCTCTGATTCCCTCTAAGAAGACAAGACTCCCAGCCTGGCCTCTCCTGAGCCAGCCTTCTACCCCTCAATCATGGGGCTTGGGTCTCCACTACTCAGTGCCTCTCCCATCCTGACCTCTGGCCCATCACTGCCCTCCCTCTTATTTCTATCTCAAAAGCTTGGGATGAACAAAGATCACTTCATTGTCCCCAGTGACACTGGATTCCTAAAGAACAAAAGGAGGTGCTAGATTATTATATAAATGCTTTCACCAGGGAGCCAAAAATTAATAACAGCATGAACAGAGGCTGGAGTATTTAACTGCTCCATCCAGACAACTGAAATGATCCAAATACACCGTTATCTGGGCGAGGTGCAGGGACTGACTGCCGACTACATTATCACATTCGGAAATGTCAGAAGCGTGCATTTTGTGGGGAGATGAACAGTGTGGCTGAATATGGCTTTTGATTAAAACAAAATTCCCAGCATTCATCTAAAACAATAATAACAGCTAATAATAACAGGGCATGTAATAATGAACCATTCACAGGCATAAGAGGTAATTGTTCAATTAAGATCCCAGAGTTTCAGAGACTGTCTTTTCTGATGGGGTCCCTTTGTTTTTGCCTCCAGTAGCACTAATTCTTTCCTAGTAGTGCTTTAAACTTGGGAAGAAAAAAGCCCTCCTGTCAAATATGACATACAAGTGCCTTATCATTATTAAATACACATACATGCGCACAATAAGAAGTCCTTGCTGGAATAAAGTTAGGGGTATGAGGCTCTCAGTGAATGCTGACAGGTTTGAGAGCTCCGTGACAGTGACAGGCAACAGCCAGGGCCTTCACTGCAGAAGTGGTCTGGCCTCGTTACCTCTCACTGCCCAGGACCAGAGTGCTTTCTCTCCAGCACGCGTTCTGAGGACAGAATGCCTGGGTTCAGGTCCCAACTCCACCGCTTAGCAGCCAGGTGCCCTGGGCAAGAGGCTTCACCTCCCTGAACCTGTTTCCTCATCTATAATACGGAATATAGTAGACATTTAGTTTTTTTGGCCTGCCCGTGTTCTATTTACTCTCTCTTCTAGTGTCTGTATCCATTAGCTATTGCTGCCTGCACTTAAAACACACAAAAAACCCATGGTATCCAAAAACATTCATTTCTCATGCCGCTGCGGGGTTGCTCTGATCTCAGCTAGGTTGCCTGGGTGTCTCTTATCCTCTTCCCGAGGGCTGGCCCTGGCATGTCTGCTAACATCCCATTGGTCAAGACAAGTCACGTGGTCAAGCCCAGGTGTGGGAAATTATGCTTTGCCCGCAGTAGGAGGACATCACAAAGTTAGACTGCAAAGGGCACAGATAAAGGGAGGAGTGGGGATTTGGGGCAGCTGACTTCATCTAGCACAGGTTTCAACATTCTAACTTAGCTCAGGGCACTGCCGTTCCCCACTTTCAGCCCCCTGGGTCTGGGAGAAGCTAACTACCCCTAGCTCTGGAGATGGCCAAAGAACTCAAGTCTGACCAATCAGAGAGCACTCTGCTTCCCAAGCCACAGTGATTGGTTCAGGAGTGGACACATGACCCAAGTTGGTCCAGTGAGAGTCAGGGACCTGGGACTTTGCTGGGATGATTGGAACAAGAAGCTCTTTTCTCTAAGATTGTTAAGTTGGTAGGATGTCAGTGTGCAGCTTCCAGGGGTTAACACCTTGGGACAGCCTAAGAAGAAAGCTGTCATAAAGGAAGACAGAGCTGAGAGACAGGCACATAATAGAGAGACTGAGTCCAGATTACCTCATTCAAGCCCCTGAATCCAGCCATACCTGAAGCCAAACATGCCTAGTCTTTTTCAGTAATATGAGCCAATGTGTACTCAGACTTGCTGTCACAAGTCTGTGCCCCCCAAACCATGACTAATATGGGGTCGGGGTGGGAAGGATAATTAAGAGTGCCAACTGTATAGAATCCCCGTGAGACTTCAATGAGGTGCTATATATAGAAGAAGTAAGATCAAGCCTGGGACACTCGAAGGGTTC